CTGTCTGTGTCTCTTTCTCTGTCTGTGTCTCTTCCTCTGTCTGTGCCTTTCTCTGTCTCTGTCTCTTTCTCTGTCTGTGTCTGTGTCTCTGTCTGTGTCTCTTTCTCTGTCTGTGTCTCTTTCTCTGTCTCTGTCTCTTTCTCTGTCTGTGTCTCTTTCTCTGTCTGTGTCTCTTCCTCTGTCTGTGTCTCTTTCTCTGTGTGCCTCTTTCTCTGTCTGTGCCTCTTTCTCTGTCTGTGCCTCTTTCTCTGTCTGTGTCTCTTTCTCTGTCTGTGTCTCTTTCTCTGTCTGTGTCTCTTTCTCTGTCTGTGTCTCTTTCTCTGTCTGTGTCTCTTCCTCTGTCTTTGCCCCTTTCTCTGTCTCTGTCTCTTTCTCTGTCTGTACCTCTTTCTTTCCCTTTTTCTTATTTCCCAGAAGCATCTATATTTTTGACAGACAGGTCACTGTATTCTCTATTGCAGAGTGAGGGAATGTTGACACTCCTTTGTTCTGGGCTGTTTTCTCCTGCTGCTGGGGTTTCTGACAGCAGACAGTAGCTCATTAGCAGCCTGCAACACAATCCTAGACTAGCTGTTTCTGACAAACCAAAGATCAATGTCATGGCCTTGACAGACACTGAAACTCTGAACTGTAACAGTTGGATGTTGTCTACACAGCAGACCAGCTCTGTGTGAATGTATAGATGTAAGGGACGTGGTTCAGTGAACCTAGCTCACATGGTGGGTAACCTTTCCTGAGACTTGAGACTTGTGTTAGCTTCCCAAGCTAATGCCTAGGTTTTAGCTCAGAGGGCTAACACAGTCTTGAGGCGCAAACCCGAGTCCTTAAACGAAATGGCAATCTGTGATACAAAATTAAATAGCTACGGAGGTGTATTTTAACCTGTATTTTCCTCTATGTTTATCGCCTAGGGTGCGAGGTGCGGAGAGGGACTGCGGTTCCGTAACGTGTCCTGCTTTGTGTCAGACGGGTCTGGCCAGGAGGAGGGCAGCCTGGTGGATGATGAGATGTGTGGAAACCTGGAGCCCTTGGTAGATGGAGACAAGCGGATCACCCTGGAAGAACCCTGCACCTCGCCCTGTCCAGGTAACTAACTTACCTTGGCCTGCAATGACTGAGGATCCAGAGTCCTGGACAGTGGACCCGGTCCCTAGATAAGAGGCAGCCAAGATCTGACCAGGAAAAACACCTGACCCTATGGTCAGTATAGATTCACCTCTGAGCATCCATCTAATCTACTATGTAGTTAGTTCAACACAGCAGTCCTGTTACAATGTGGAACATTAATGGTGTTTTGTAGATTTTATAGCTCTATCTGGTCGAGAAAGCCCCTTGTCCTTCAACATTATTTACCAACTATGCAGAGACATTTTGCTGTTCCTTTAAGGCTGAGCTGAGTTCACTACTGCCGTTAAATCACATTTATCAGCAGATGTGCTAAGAGACATTTATATGGTCCTAGCTGTGTTATATTCTAGCCCAGCTCTCTCATAACATGAATCTTTTAGGAGCAGTGTCCTGCTGACACTGACTGTAGGCACTGATGACTGGATGTTTAGATTCTCAGAGGCTGGTGCTAAAGAGCCGTCCAACGCCTGCTGCTGTGCCTCATTCTCTGTGTTGATGTTGACTGACATTGTAGGGAATTCAACAAGCTAGTAAAGTGAGTATTCTAAGATTATATGAATACATGATTTCTTCATCTCCAATGACATGAAAGTGGAGATTTTCTCTTCTGAATAAAAACCTTTCAACGTCATACATTTCAGAGAGTTGCTAGGGAAAAAAAGCGGATCTGAAAACGACTAGTGTGAATGCAATTTTGACAGTTCGTATTTCCTTATTTTGCCAGTGCCTGTCAATGACATATCCAACGTCCCATTTTGACAGGTCCATTGTAGCAGAAGTAGAGCGTTGTGACACAAGCTCATGCAGCAGAAAATTGTGTTTGGTGTGTTTGGTGTGTTTGGTGTGTTTGGTGTGTGTGTGTGTGTGCGCGTGTGCGTGTGTGCGTGCTTGTATGTGTGCGGGTGTGTGTGTGTGCGTGCGTGTGTGTCCAGAGCTGTGCGTTTGGTAGATGTGGACATGTGTAGTCAAAGTAATCTTTGTAGCCTACTTCCCCCCTATTCTAACATTCATATCACACAAACCCTCAACCTGTGGCCTAATAAGTTACATATCTACATAGCCAGTCCTAATCTCCAGTGGTTTAGCTCAGGCAGCCAAGACAGACGGAGCAGGTATTTAATCCAGGTGTCCACTCTCTCTCCACATGAAACCCCACCAGACATCACCTCTCTCCCCCTCCTCTGCCTCATCACACCCCTGCCTCCCCTGCCTGATTGTAGCCCAGTCCATGGCCCCACCATGCCTGACACCTGACACAGACAGCAGACAGGTGATAATCATAAAGTGGATTAGGCCACTTTGGACCTGATGGCTTTATGATTAATTAGTATTTAGACGTGTGCTCACTTCCTCTCTGTCACTACAATAGGATGAATTAATGAATGGCTCTGACCTATTCTTATGGGAAATGGCCTGTTCTGAGAACACCCTGATTCAAACTATAATGAAAAATGGGATCTGGCTCTATTGGGGAAATATCTTCTGAACTTTATCAGGGATAGGGTTTAAACCTCTTTTTTTTTAAATGAGAATTCTCTGAAGAAGTCTGAGAAGTCTGCCTGGTGACAATCAGTGTGGAAATATAATGATATTCAAAACAATTTAAGGTCAAATTCAAGTTTCCCATTATAATTGTGTAGTGCCAGGGTCAGGAATCTTGTGATATGACCAGGATAGACTCTGGAGTCATATTTTTGGTCAGGTTACATGGTTAACAGTAACGTCTCATATAGTACTGTACGTTTTCAACTGTGTGCAGCTAAATGTGTTGAAAGTTGTGTACTGTGTGTTTCTGTACAGGTGACTGCTACCTGACTGACTGGACATTGTGGAGCCCGTGCCAGCTGAGCTGTGTCAGTGGAGCTGACCTGGGTTTTGGCTCAGTGCAGGTCAGATCCAGAGCGGTGCTGGCCCAGGAGCCAGAGAACCTACTGCAGTGTCCAGAACAGGAGTGGGAAGCCCGGCCCTGCACTGGTCAGTCTATACACACAAACACACATGCATGCACACACACACACACACACACACACACACACACACACACACACACACACACACGCACACACACACAAATGTGCATTTGTCCCTTCATGCTATTATATGTAATATGAAGTATGTCTGTACTGACCCATATCTCTCCTCCCACTACAGAGGGCCAGTGTTATGAGTACAAGTGGATGACAGGAGCGTGGAGAAGCTCCTCTCGACTGGTCTGGTGTCAAAGATCTGATGGATTAAATGTCACAGGTATGTGTGTGTGTGTGTGTGTTTGGTTTTACTATCCTTGTGGGGACCAGAAATGTCCTCCTCCTTGTGGGGACCAGAAATGTCTTCACAAGGATAGTAAAACAAGGAAAATTCAGTGTGGGAACATTTAGCCAGTCCCCACAAGGACAAAAGGCTATTTTAGGCTTAGGGGTTAGGTTTAGGGTTGGGGTTAGAGTTAGAATTAGGGTTAGGGGTTTGGGGTTAAGGTTAAGGTCAGGGTTAAGGTTAGGGTTAGTGTTTAGGGTTAGGGGTTAAAGAAAATATAATTTTGAATCAATCCTTTGTTTGGTCCCCACAAGGATAGTAAAAAAAAACGTGTGTGTGTGAGTGTGTGCTGCTTATATCCCATCCCCTGTCAGAATGCATCCACCAACACTCCTTCTTTTAAACCTATCCCTTTACAGATGTGCCTACTTCATATGCTGCTGAATAGAAGTCACTAAACCCTTATCTAGACTAAGGACGAGTATTGAGTGGTAGCCTACTGTAGCATAAGATTTCAGTCACTGCCTCTCGATTTAGTAGCTACATTATCATAACTGTAACTCTATGAATGTGTGGGATGTGAATTAGGTCATAAGCTCCAATGAATAGTACAATACAGTTCTGCTACAGTCAGCCACCCAGCCCAGCTCCCTCCAGGTGCCTCAGTGGCTGATGATGATGATGGGGATAGGGTTATTTCAAACCCTGTCTCTGCCTGTCGGAGCGAGTGGCGTTTGTTCATTCGAGGCACTTTCTGACTGCCTGTCACTGTGGAGCCGAGGCCGCTTGTGTGTGTGCATGCGTTCCTGTGTGTATGTGTGCGTGCCTTCGAGCGTGTGTGTATGTGTGTTTGTGTGTGTAGGAGATAAGGAGGATTTAATCCTTGACGATGACACGTTTTAATCCTGCTGGCCATCACACGTCATCTTTAGGTCTGTGACTGCTGCCTCAGAGCTAGGAGATTCCAGAGGAAGAGTTACAGTGTATATGTCACTTATCATAAAGGATAAAGGATGTGTGTCTTATTCAGCAATTAATTATCTGAGGAATGAATAACCACTAGCACTGACTTTGCTGTTAACTTCTTTATTTTGGAAAAATTTACTTACTACGACTGTGATATGTGATTTTCTCACCTAGCTATCTTAAGATGAATGCACTAACTGTAATTCGCTCTGGATAAGAGCATCTGCTAAATTACTAAAATATAAATAAGTGAATGAACATTTCTGTAAACTATACACATGATGTTTGGTGTGTAGGCATAGAGTATGACATATCAAATCAAACTTTATTTAACAAGCATTTATCTAGACAGCTCAATACACATTACATTTGTTAGGTAGGTGTGCATGAATCATGATATAGTCTGAATTCACTCTCACCGTGTATTAATGATGCTATAGATCCTATGCCAAGGCATTCCACAGCCATACGATCCAGATGGTATGCATATTTTATGCATATTATATCAGACCGGTTGATTGGCATATACCCTGTATTTCCTTGACGTAAACGCTTCCTTTCACGCAATGTGGCTTCCGCTTATGATTTGCATACGCTGTGTGTGTGTGTGTGTGTGAGTGTGTCCATGCGCATCACCATCATTAATATTCAAGACGTCTTCTAATAGATTAGCAATTTTCTGCCGACAGTATCATTTTTATGAATAACTTGAGGGATCCTGTCCAGGATTACTCTCTGAGTGTTGCTACACATATATCTCTTGTGAAGTGGGATGTTGAAGTGAAGGAATTTAGCAAAGTGGTTGAAGCGGACCGTTGCTGACTGGTACAGAGTACTGGGCCTGGCACCTCTTATTCTCTAAAGCTTGGGTACATATTGTAGAATACCTGCTTAAAAGTACTGTCAAATTGAAGGGAGCAGTGGAACCTTTTTCATTCCTTCAAGGACTGATGCACTGTGTAAATCACTTTGGATGAAAGTGTCTGCTTAGTTGCAGATATTATATTATGTTGTATATATTATGATTAAGCTCAAGACTACCCCTCCCCCTGGCTGCTGTGGTAACCTCTGTTTCTTTCAGCCTGATTACCGTGGTGCTGTTTAAACGCCTAATGACAAACCTAGTCTTTACTGCCACCTACAACATTGTCATAGAAACCACACTTATCAGGAAGGAAGGGCTGTAGTACTGACTGAACTGTGAGTCAGTTCTAGTTTCCTCACCATCACTACTGTATCCCTCCTCTGTATAACCTTGGTCTAGTTGGTCTAGTTGGTCTAGTTCCCCCCACCACCACTACAGTATCCCTCCTCTTATCTCCTATACCCTTCTCTTGTGTATATTGATTTACCCAGTGTAGCTCAAATAAAAGCCTAGTGAGAAAACAGTGAGCCCCTTTCATTTTGCCTTGAGGCAGTCCACTGCATTGATAGGCAGTCCACTGCATTGATAGGACAATGGGAGGGAATCTCCCTGAGGCAATCACTTAAAGAGATGGGGATGGGGCTAGGGCTGGCCTACCTTCTCTTCCCAGGCATGACTGCGTCCCAAATGGCACCCTATTCCCTGTATAGTGCACTTCTTTTGACCAGGGCCCATAGGGCTCTTGTCAAAGTAGTGCACTATGTGGGAAATAGAATGCCATTTGGGACACATAATTGTTGTCCTTGATATCTGAAGCTGTATCAGTGTACATTTTGCAGTGAGTGCATCATCTCACTACAGTACACACAACTCATCTGAGACCCAGAGAGCTCGGGGAGCTCAGTCTGCTTTCCTGTTTATGTAAGTGTGTCTGTCTGTACGCTTGCTCTCTGGAATGGTGCATACTGCGTGGTGTATGTCTGATAAACCATGAATTAATGGGAGTGTCTGTTTTCGTCTGGGTGTTTGGGGAGGAATTTTGAGCAGCTACCTATCAGAGTGCCCTAATTACTGAAGTATTACAATATCATATACTGTGAGGGAAATTAATTGGGAAGCATTGGAGGACCCATTTTTGTTGCTTGCCTCCTGCTGTGGGTGGAGAGAGCGAGATCTAGCTAGATAGCGATAGGAGAGAGAGATATAGAGAGAGAGAGAGAGAGAGGAGAGAGAGAGATATAGAGAGAGGAGGAGAGAGAGGAGCGCATATATATATATAGCGCTCTGATTCTCTATCTCTCCTCTCTCTCCTCTCTAGCGACTCGCTCGCTCTCTCTCTCTCCTCTCGCTCTCTCTATCTCTCTCTCTCTTCCTCTCCCTTCCTCTTCTCTCCTATACTCTTCTCTTGTGTATATATATATAAATATATCTACTTCACTTGCTTTGGCAATGTTAACATATGTTTCCCATGCCTATAAAGCCCTTCAATTGAATTTAATTTAATTGAGAGAAAAAATATGTAAAGAAAGTGATATAAAGAAAGAAAGGGAGAGAGAGAGATTGCAAAATAGAGAACAGGTGTGTAGAGTCTCTGATCCATGTTGCCTGCAGCACAACAGACTGATAGAAGTACAGTAACAAAGACAGCAGTGAAAGCTGCCCAACATTCTGGACCACATGTCCGCTGCTCTGCTGTGTGTGTATGTTTGTGTGTGTGTGTGTGTCCCCACAAGAATAGTAAACAAAAATGTGTTAGTCTCCACAAGGTAAAATGCTATTTCTAGGGGGTTAGAATTAGTGTTAGGTTAGAATTGGGTTAGGGTTAGTTTTAGGGTTAGTTTAGGGTGTAGGGAAAATAGGTTTTTGAATGGGATTGAATTGTGTGTCCCCACAAGGTTAGTTGTTCAAGACTGTGTGTGTGTGTGTCTGCTTGTGTACGTCTTGTGTATACATGTATGTGCTTGTCTGCTTGCATTAGCGAGATAATTAAATGTACAGCATCTTTATATCATAAAGGGAGACTGCTCCCCATGGCACCCTCACTTCCATCCCCTTGCTGCCCCAAACCCCTCCCCACTGAAGCTTGCCCTCTGACCTGTACCCTACAGGTGGCTGCCCTATGACGGCCCAACCCGTGGCAGACCGATCATGTGACCCAGCCTGCAACAGACCACGCTCCTTCTGCACAGAGGTGAGTCTGACAACAGAAAGAGAGAGAGAGAGAGAGAGAGAGAGAGAGAGAGAGAGAGAGAGAGAGAGAGAGAGAGAGAGAGAGAGAGATTTTATTTTTCAATTATACTTACCCTCTCAAATAAACTCCCTCTCACATTATCAAGCATCTCACAGGCAATCCCAGATCATTATATATATATATTTTCTTCAATACAATACAGTACGGTATTCTTCAACCCAGTTGTATTCAAAGGGTGTATTTGATTCTCAGTCATATGTGAGAGAGAAACATCCCATAATATACAGCCTGGTCTTTGAAGTGTAGTCTGTCCCTCCTCGGGCTGAGAGCTTCCAGCATTTGTGTTCACTACAAACGGAGTCAATTTCCTGGAAACACCAGGGGACCAGTTAAATGGGTACACTGTTTGTGTGTTTGTATGTGTGGAGGTGTGTGTGTGTGTTTCTGTCTGTGTGTGTGTGTATGGGGGATCGGCACCATCTATACACACACCCATGTCAGAACACATCAGAACCAGGACTCAGCCCTCTAGTTAGTGCTGCCTGAGGGGGCTGTGAGAGAGATACAGCAACATGTCTAGCTCAAATGTGTCTGTTTGTGTAGTGGGGGTATTGTGTCATTGTGTTTGTTCATATTTGTGTTGTTAGTCATCTCCCATGGCCTGGCTGTGTTTCTGTGTATATGACTGTGTGTAAATGTGTCTCTTGTGCCAGTGTGTTTTTGTGCTTGTAGGTGTGGTCGTGAGTGAATCACATTTTTTCTGTCCATCATTCCCTATTTTTGTGTCTGTCTATGTGTTCGTGAATGTATGTGTGCACATGTACATGCAGGTTAGGGTGTGGAAGGTGTGTATGCCAGCCTCAGTCTCAGCAGTGTGTTGTGTAGCCCCATGCTGCAGTACAGAACCTGCTGCGTGTTCATCCTGCCCCTCTCTTTGTCTGCCACTTTGGTTATGCTAATCAGCCCTCCTGTTTCCTGCCCTGTTCTCTCATCCGCCGGCCCTGTGTGTGTGAGTGTGTGTGTGTGTGTGTGTGTGTGTGTGTGTGTTCAGACATACAGCCACTGTTTGCATTGTGGATATTTCATCTCGGGGTGATTATCCTCTGGAGGTTGCCGGGGAATAGGGGAACCCCCACCAAGCACAGGCAGATGATTGAACAGAGAGAGGGAGAAGAAAGAGAGAAAGAGAATGAAACCCCCCTGGGCTGGCAGATGAGTGATCTGAGAGAGATAGAGGGATGAGTGAACAGAGAGAAAGAATAGGGGAAACCTTTGGGCTGGCTGGCTGTATACCCCAACCCCAACAGACCCCACCCTTTAAATCTCAGAGAATGAATTTCTGTCTGATCCCCCCCCCCCTTTCTCAATGCAGCACTAGCATCACAAAGGGGATTGAAACGTGTGATAGTTCATTTTAATACTGCCAAGATATGAGCCTGAGCTAAAGCTGAGTGATGATTCATTCGATTACACCTGGGAATATTTGATAACAAATAACCTCACTCCGTCACCAGCCTCCGACTGCATTATTTGCTGTACTAAAAGGGATGAAACTGACAAAAATGCCTTGTATCCATGTTTTGATTTTATAATGGCGGTGTGTGTGTGTGAATTGTGTGATTCTCATCAAGTGCACCAATTGCTAAACATCTCCAACACACCTGCAAAGCAAAAGCTCCGGCTGCCACACCGTAGACCCATGTCTTCAGTTTACCATCTGTAGGACACATCACACACACTTAGGACACTGACTAACTCCAGTGACAGCTCACATTGGACTATAATGTGAATGGCTTTGGTGCAGATCCATTCGTGTGCATAGAGGGCAGCAGTACACCAAATATTTTCCAGATCATCTATTGTGTGTAAATTATTATGCATTTCATTTATACGTGTGTGTAACTCCTTTCCTCTCCCAGGCGGGTGTGTGTGGCTGCGAGGAGGGCTACACGGAGGTGATGACTTCAGACGGCCTGCTGGACCAGTGTACGGTGATCCCCGTGTTAGAGATCCCCACGGCGAGGGACAACAGGGCTGACGTGAAGACCATCAGGGCAGTCAGCCCCACACAGCCCTCCAACAGCCTGCCTGGCCGTGCCGGACGCACCTGGTTCCTACAGCCCTTCGGACCAGGTACACTAACCAGACAGATTTACTCTATCAATTTACGGGACAGTAGGGAACCATCCAAGAGATTTGTTCTTGGTTGTTATTATGTGGTATTTCGAATCTTGTTAGAATATCGGCCTATACTCTGTAGAAAGTAAATGTGAATATATTCCGAAATTATAACAGAATTTTCAGCAGAGCTACATTCTGCATTGTCATTCCCGGTAGCCACAAATTGTTTTTGCACAAATCCCCTAATGACATCAGGAAATGATATGAACAGAAGTTTTACACCGCCATTTATGCACACATTTAGGATTAGGCCCAGAATTTCTCATCCTCAAAATATCCATCATTTCTACTCATGTGTGATGTGATGTGCTGGATCTTAATATTTACAGCAAAGTGAAAGTACAATCCACCAATAATAATTTACACACAATAGATGATCTGGAAAATAGTTGGTGTACTGCTGCCCTCTATGCCCAGGAATGGATCTGCACCAAAGCCATTCACATTATAGTCCAATGTGAGCTGTCACTGGAGTTAGTCAGTGTCCTAAGTGTGTGTGATGTGTCCTACAGATGGTAAACTGAAGACATGGGTCTACGGTGTGGCAGCCGGAGCTTTTGTTTTACTCATATTTATAGTCTCCATGACCTTCCTAGCCTGGTAAGTTAATCTGTTTGATACTTCTTTATGTATGTCAGTCATCTGTATGTCACCGGTATGTATGTATGTACACTGAACAAAAATATAAACACAACATGCAACAATTTCAAAGATTTTACTGAGTTACAGCTCATATAAGGAAATCCGACAATTGAAATAAATTAATTCGGCCCTAATCTATGGATTTCAACATGACTTGGAATACAGATATGCATCTGTTGGTCACAGATACCTTAAAAAAAAGTTAGGGATGTGGATCAGAAAACCAGTCAGTATCTGGTGTGACCACCATTTGCATCATGCAGCGCGACACATCTCCTTCACATAGAGTTTATCTGGCTGTTGATTGTGGCCTGTGGAATGTTGTCTCACTCCTCTTCAATGGCTGTGTGAAGTTGCTGGATATTGGCGGGAACTGGAACACGCTGTCGTACATGTAGATCCAGAGAATGCCAAACATGCTCATTGGGTGACATGTCTGGTGAGTATGCAGGCCATGGAAGAACTGGGACATTTTCAGAATTGTGTACAGATCCTTGCGACATGGGGCTGTGCATTATCATGCTGAAACATGAGGTGATGGCGGTGGATGAATGGCACGATAATGGGATCTCGTCACAGTATCTCTGTGCATTCAAATTGCCATCGATAAAATGCAATTGTGTTCGTTGTCCGTAGCTTAAGCCTGCCCATGCCATAACCCCATTGACACCATGGGGCACTCTGTTCACAACATTGACATCAGCAAACCGCTCACCCACACAACGCCATACACGCTGTCTGCCATCTGCCCGGTACAGTTGAAACTGGGATTCACCCGTGAAGAGCACACTTCTCCAGCGTGCCAGTGGCCATCGAAGGTGAGCATTTGCCCACTGAAGTTGGTTACGACGCCGAACTGCAGTCAGGTCAAGACCCTGGTGAGGACGACGAGCACACAGATGAGCTTCCCTGAGACGGTTTCTGACAGTTTGTGCAGAAATTATTCGGTTGTGCAAACCGGACAGCTGTCCAGGTGAATGGTCTCTGACGATCCCGCAGGTGAAGAAGCCGGATGTTGAGGTCCTGTGCTGGCGTGGTTACGCGTGGTCTGCGGTTGTGAGGCCGGTTGGAAGTACTGCCAAATGGTCTAAAACATTGTTGGAGACGGCTTATGGTAGAGAAATAAACAGAACATTCACTGGCAACAGCTCTGGTGGACATTCCTGCATTCAGCATGTAAATTGCACGCTCCCTCAAAACTTGAGACATCTGTGGCATTGTGTTGTGTGACAAAACTGCACATTTTATAGTGGCCTTTTTATTGTCCCCAGCACAAGGTGTACCTGTGTAATGATCATGCTGTTTAATCAGCTTCTTGATATGCCACACCTGTCATGTGGATGGATTATCTTGGTAAATGAGAAATGCTCACTAACAGGGATGTAAACACATTTCTAGAGAAATAAGCTTTTTGTGCATATGGAAATTTCTGGAATCTTTTATTTTAGCTCATGAAACATGGGACCAACACTTTACATGTTGCGTTTATATATATATTTAGCATATGTATGTACAGTGGGGAAAAAAGGATTTAGTCAGCCACCAATTGTGCAAGTTCTCCCACTTTAAAAGATGAGAGAGGCCTGTCATTTTCATCATAGGTACACGTCAACTATGACAGACAAAATGAGAAAAAAAATTCCAGAAAATCACATTGTAGGATTTTTAATGAATTTATTTGCAAATTATGGTGGAAAATAAGTATTTGGTCAATAACAAAAGTTTCTCAATACTTTGTTATATACCCTTTATTGGCAATGACACAGGTCAAACGTTTTCTGTAAGTCTTCACAAGGTTTTCACACACTGTTGCTGGTATTTTGGCCCATTCCTCCATGCAGATCTCCTCTAGAGCAGTGATGTTTTGGGGCTGTCGCTGGGCAACACAGACTTTCAACTCCCTCCAAAGATTTTCTATAGGGTTGAGATCTGGAGACTGGCTAGGCCACACCAGGACCTTGAAATGCTTCTTACGAAGCCACTCCTTCGTTGCCCGGGCGGTGTGTTTGGGATCATTGTCATGCTGAAAGATCCAGCCACGTTTCATCTTCAATGCCCTTGCTGATGGAAGGAGGTTTTCACTCAAAATCTCACGATACATGGCCCCATTCATTCTTTCCTTTACACGGATCAGTCGTCCTGGTCCCTTTGCAGAAAAACAGCCCCAAAGCATGATGTTTCCACCCCCATGCTTCACAGTAGGTATGGTGTTCTTTGGATGCAACTCAGCATTCTTTGTCCTCCAAACACGACGAGTTGAGTTTTTACCAAAAAGTTCTATTTTGGTTTCATCTGACCATATGACATTCTCCCAATCCTCTTCTGGATCATCCAAATGCACTCTAGCAAACTTCAGACAGGCCTGGACATGTACTAGCTTAAGCAGGGGGACACGTCTGGCACTGCAGGATTTGAGTCCCTGGCGGCGTAGTGTGTTACTGATGGTAGGCTTTGTTACTTTGGTCCCAGCTCTCTGCAGGTCATTCACTAGGTCCCCCCGTGTGGTTCTGGGATTTTTGCTCACCGTTCTTGTGATCATTTTGACCCCACGGGGTGAGATCTTGCGTGGAGCCCCAGATCGAGGGAGATTATCAGTGGTCTTGTATGTCTTCCATTTCCTAATAATTGCTCCCACAGTTGATTTCTTCAAACCAAGCTGCTTACCTATTGCAGATTCAGTCTTCCCAGCCTGGTGCAGATCTACAATTTTGTTTCTGGTGTCCTTTGACAGCTCTTTGGTCTTGGCCATAGTGGAGTTTGGAGTGTGACTGTTTGAGGTTGTGGACAGGTGTCTTTTATACTGATAACAAGTTCAAACAGGTGCGATTAATACAGGTAACGAGTGGAGGACAGAGGAGCCTCTTAAAGAAGAAGTTACAGGTCTGTGAGAGCCAGAAATCTTGCTTGTTTGTAGGTGACCAAATACTTATTTTCCACCATAATTTGCAAATAAATTCATTAAAAATCCTACAATGTGAAAATTATTTTATTTTTTTATTTTTATTTTTAGAAAATGATGAAAATTACAGGGCTCTCTCATCTTTTTAAGTGGGAGAACTTGCACAATTGGTGGCTGACTAAATACTTTTTTCCCCCACTGTATGTATGTATGTATGTATGTATGTATATATGTATGTATGTACTGTATGTATGTATGTATGTCATCACCTGTATGTATATGTCTTCATGGTCACATCAGTTTTCATTTACCCATTCATTTTAATTTCAAATCATGTCATTATCTGTACTTTTTCTTTCCATCTCTCTCCCCACCTCATCCATTCATCTCTCTCCCCACCTCATCCATTCATCTCTCTCCACACCTCATCCATTCATTCCTCTCCCCATCTTATCCATTGATCTCTCTCTTTTCACCCCCCCCCCCCCCCCCCCCCCCCCCCCCCCCCCCCCCCCCCCACCACCTCCATGCACCATCAGTCGGTGTTACTCGAACCCTGACCAGTGTACTGATACGGTGGTCTGGATGGGACATAACGATCATACCATGGCTTATACGTGTCCTGACTGCCAGCATGAGGCACACAAACTAGAAAAACAACATCAATATCAACATCAACAACAACCGCATCAAAATCATTATCAAGATCAACAACAATTACAACAGCAAACACATCAATATCATCAAAATCATCAACTACAACCACTACCACAAAATCAATATCAACAACCACAACTACCACAACAAAATCAACACTATCAGCAACAACCATATAATCAACAACATCAATATCAACTACAACCACAACAGCATCAACAAAAAAAACATAATAATCAACCTAATCACCAACTACAACCACAACGCATTGAAACACTCATAACGTAGGGGTCCTGACCTAATGGCGGCCCTCGCTGCAGTGTTCACACAAACTACCCTACCCCTTCGTCTTTCTCTCCTCCCCACATCTGCTGTCACATGTGCCTGTCCGACCAATCACATGGAGCTATTGATGGAGGTGAGCAAGAAGTCATCCCCCATGTCCCTATGTTTGACCCCTGACCCCTCTGTGATCCTGGAGTATGTTCAGTAGTCTTTAGAGCACCATACTGAAACATGCTATGTACGGCATCCATTTTAGGAAGTCCCTTGGTTGCAGTTACTCTATAAAAATGATGAGCAGCTTTCACTTTCAATAGCATACTGCCCTCTTGTGGCCAGATGGAAGAATCACTCTTCACATTTTTTCTTTTATTTATTTTTTGTCATTTAGCATACGCTCTTATCCAGAGCGACTTACAGTTAGTGAGTGCATAAATTTTTTCATACTGGTCCCCCGTGGGAATCGAACCCACAACCCTGGCGTTGCAAGCACCATGCTCTACCAACTGAGCTACACGGGACATATTCAATGATCCCTCATCCCTTGCCATTCAGTCTCTCATTCGTTCCACCCATTCTTCCCTATCTATTCATGATGGACACAAATAAGATATCTTATTCACATTTTATATATATTTATCATTGTGTTGTTATTGTCTCCCATCCCTGTGGTTTTTATGTAAAGTTGTGATGTGTGATATGTTAGAGCCTGCTCAGACATGCTATAGTGTTGTCCTCATTATGTACCTATAGTTAACTGTCTACACTGTCTCTGTGTGCCATAGCCTAGTTTGAATTAAGGTGAGTGGGAACTGGTTGAGTGGGAAATGTTCTGGGCTGAAAAAAAAGCTGCTTTCTGTACTGTGCTTGTCCCCCTCGTCATCTTCCTTCAGAGTCCAATCTCTCTCACATGCCTCAATATAAAAAGAAATGATAGCAGCTGTTGAAATTGTCCATGAAGTGTTGCATCATCCACCACAGCATAATTTCAATGCTAGGACAAGGGGCACTGAAATGTGCTTCTGAAATTTGCCTCACTAACTAGTTCTGCAACCAACAGATCTGTCAATTTTCCTTAAAGTACAATGGCAGTATAGGAACAGAATCGTTGGCTATTTCAGTATTGCCTTTGCATGATCGAAGAACTGACCATATACTAAAAGCATGGCCTTCAAGCAGAGTGATGCATGCAACTCTAACATGAGGTAAATTACCCAACTGAAAGTTGTGGCGTTTTCAAAAGATAGCAGAGCAAGCTCTGTGTATCAGGTGGGGGTAACGTAGCCCTGATATGGATAAATTCTTTATTATTATGGTATATAGGCCTACATATTAAGGCTATGGGTATCTACATTTCCTCTTCAATAATTGGAATATAAAACATGTAATAGCAATGTTTTCTGCAATTTTTCTTTCCTAGTAAAAAGCCAAAGAAACCCCAGAGAAGACAGATGTATAACAACCGGCTCAAGCCCCTGACCCTGGCCTATGACGGAGACGCTGACATGTAAACCTCCTCCTAATGTACCTGGTGACAGAATAATTTTACACTGATGTTATGGAGACTGTCATCATGGGAACAGACAGACAGGTTGTCCATGGAGACCCATCTTTGACCTTTCTCCTCAGGCTACCAGTGGGCATGGCTTAAAACATCTGGAACTCTAGGAAGACTTGCGTTATGTTACGGATTTATCAACAACAACAACAAAAAAAGCAAAAAAGAAGTCAAACAGAAATCGTATCATGTTCATTCATTAGTAGCCTAGAAATTTTCTTTATTTCATTTTTGTATACTTTGTTTCACAAGAGCCTTCACAAACTCTATCTTCTTCTTAAGGAAGTCTGCCTTTGCTTATCTGACATTTACTACTTTTTCTGTCAAATAAATAAAAACGAAGGTTTTTGGAGAGGGCCCTGAAAAAACAAAGATTTTTGCTGCGAAAGCACAAGTCCTTCCTTCTTGGCTACAGCTGTTCTGTTGGAAATGAGATGAGAAATACGCAACGCTTTTTTTATTTTCCTGGAGAAAATTGCTGCCTCTCTATTTTTGTTCTGGACTGGATCATTTTCTCTAGAAAACAGATCAAGACAAAAGTGTCCTAATCTTACAGAAACACTGTCAACCTTTGTAGGAAATCTCTGCCTTCCTCCCTTTTTCTCTTCCATGTTCAGGCTCAATATTGCGCTATATTAGTGCAGCATGATATGTACTTATGTCTAGGAAGCTGCCTCTCTCAATACAAGATGATGTACAGTCTTGTGCTAAAAATGTAAAAAATTGACTTTTTTTCAAAAACACATGTTGCTTCTTTTACCTCTTGTATGTGATATGATTATGCCATGTAAATATTATTTATTTACCTTTGTAGTATGTACAGCTGCATTTTACAGACACGGGTTCAAATAGTATCTTTTTTTAACTGCGCTTGATTGAGCTTGCCTGGCGCAATGGAACCATTGGAATTGTCCCAAAAGTGCAAACCCCGCTCATCTGCCACTCCAGGCCAGGCTCAATGAAATGCTGAAAGTCTTGGAAAGAATACAAATGCTATTTGAACCCAGGTCTGAACATGTCTCATTCTCTGCCTGCCTGACTGACTTTATGTTTGTCTCCTGTTGGTTTCTCTGACTGTTGCTTTGAAGGTTTATTATGGTTCATCATTGTTTTTCCACTTCCTATAGTAACTTTATTCAACATCTCAAAGACCTGAATTCCATCAAATGTGCACTGCAGGGAATCCGGATTCCACATGGCAGAAAAATCACATGGCTCTCTTACCGTAAAGAAGCTAATTCAAAGAACTGTTTAATGTTTATTGAGAGAAACACAGCAACAATTATATTTGACGATGTTGTTGAAAGGGTGCATTTTCACAATGCAAAAACAATGTGATTCGTTTCCCCATTGCGAGTTTAATAGAATCTGGTCTTAGTTGTTAAGACAGACAGAAGGGTGTGACTGGGTTTGTTCACAACGTCTTCTTTACCTTCTGATCCACCAGAAGAGAGTGGGTTCTCTTTATATCTTGGTCTCATATCTACTGCTGTGTAACATCCTCAATCCTAACTAGAACAGCCTACTTGTATCCAAACTGCTTAGGCGTATTGCTATATACATATCATATGTGATCTCTCAATACTGTTCATATTCAGTGTGGCTGTTACATCGGTTGAGGGATGAGTGTGACTACAATGTCTACAATAATCACTCACACACATTTATGCTTTGTTCTCACTCCTTGCCTTGATGCTATTCTATGATGGGTTCTGTATTGCAAAAGCTAGATACAACGTAACCTAGGTAGCCACAATAACACTCCAAGGAATTCCAAGGAACAGATGCAACAAAGTCTTTGATGTAGCTCAAGCTTCTCATGCTAATGATGCAATGACATATCTGAAGAGTCCGAGTCCTCTGTCTGAAAACAGGTTATATGCATAATATTGGCTATGGCAGACTGGCAGACTGGCAGTTGGTAGTGCAGACTGTTTATTCAATGGTATAGATGGACAAACCTCATGTAAAGTAAATGAATCAGTCACAACCATACTATTCCCCAAGGGTATTGAATTGCGGCGATAGAGACAGACGGACATTTGTTGGTTGACAGGTGGTCAAAGGAATGTTTACTTTTTTCGATTTACGTTTCTTAAATGATGAGTTGTAAATAAATGAGTGCATACTGTTTTTATTTCAGAATTATTTATGTATTATATATAAATATGTTCCTTTTTTTTTATTGCGCAAAGTAAAGAAAAAAAATGTGTGTGTGTGTGTGTGTGTGTGTGTGTGTGTGTGTGTGTGTGTGTGTGTGTGTGCGCGCGCGCATGTGTGTTTCTGCCTATGTGTGTGTAATGTTAATGATCTTTGCTAAAGTGATACTGATGATTACCTTGTTAAAACAAAGTCGCAGGGCTCCGTCCTTTTCCTACAGGCTGTTTATATGTATCTGACCAGTTGCTGATAATAAATAAGAAAAACTAAATAATTGTGTCAATACCCTCTCATCATATGCACCCGTATTACAAAACAAATGTGTTGTAATATCTGTCTACACCACTAGAAGTCCCTAGAACACTATTTAAGATGTCATTCTGACCATTCCCTCCAGGTAGCTCTTTGATAAATATATTCCTCCCCTCCTCCTCTGAGAGGTGCAGTGCAACTGAACCTTTGACAGCAGAAGAAATAGAAACATTCCTCTGAAGAAGGCAGAATCTGTGAGAAACTCAGACCCATGACACACACAGAGGTCAGAAGGAGCTTTTCACAAACATACACACACATACACACACACACACACACACACACACACACACACACACACACACACACACACACACACACACACACACACACACACACACACACACACACACAGGCCAGAGGACAGAATGGGCTTTGCTGAAGGCTGAGGAACTAGAGCTATCCAACTGTACTTAACTCACACTCTGTGTGGCCTGAGCGATAGTGTGAATATGTTTCTTAATATTGTGCTTTATTTACTTTCTTAATTTATCATCTATGTTCCTAGGTGGAACATAAATCTTACTGCAGCCGATTTGATGCCTTTTTGGGTATGGTTTTCAGGCTAGTCATGACAGGATTGTGCTTTACATGTACAGGTAATTCCTAGGTAATAGTCTTGTAGTTATGCTGTTACCAGGTTGTTTCTAAGTACATTCCAAATCATTTAGGAAGTGTAGAATAAAATGTTACCAAGATGGGAGACTGCTTCTGTCCCAAATGGCACCCTATTCCTTATTCAGTGCACTATACAATTTGACCCTGCTTCTCACAGCAGAGAAATAATCCTGCAGCAACAGGAAATGTAAATCATTATGTGGATTATAATTAATGGGCCTTTTGTAGGGGTTGATATATTTTGTAAGGCTTGATACAAATGAAGTCTGAAAACAATATGTACTCATACACAGAGTATACAAAACAGTCAGAACACCTGCTGTTTCCATGACATAGACTGACCAGGTGAATCCAGGTGAAAGCTATGATCCCTTGTTGATGTCACTTGTTAAATCCACTTCAATCGGTGTAGATGAAGGGGAGGAGACAGGTTAAAGAAGGATTTTTAAGCCTTGAGACAATTGAGACATGGATTGTGTATGTGTACCATTCAGAGGGTGAATGGGCAAGACAAAATATTTAAGTGCCTTTGAACAGGGTATGGTAGTAGGTGCCAGGCACACTGTTTGTGTCAAGAACTGCAACACTGCTGGGTTTTTCACGCTTAACAGTTTCCTTTGTATATCAAGAATTTTCCACCACCCAAAGGACATCCAGCCAACTTGACACAACTGTGGGAAGCATTGGAGTCAACATGGGCCAGCATCCCTGTGGAACGCTTTCGACACCTTGTAGAGTCCATGCCCCGACGAACTAAGGCTATTTGGTATACTCAGTGTATATTTAAATATATAAACCTTAAATACACCACAATTAGCATTTCCTACTGCGCAGCAAAATTCTCTGCAACAACAGAGTGATCGAATTAAGATGTCAGATCTGTACCTTTGATCAGGGCCTGCACTACATAGTGAATAGGCTGCCACTCCTCCACTGAATCAGTTGATTGTCCTCTATGCTTGTTAATGTCATGTTTTGGTCTGAATCAGTCTTAATCAACCAGAGTCATCACGTTGTAATCATTGATCAGGGAGACTAACCACAGACGGTCTGCCTGGCCTTGGGACTATCGGCCAATCAGCTCCTCTCATAAGCATGTCTCCATCTCCGTCATCCATTTAAATTCCCCCTGCCAAGAAACAGGGAAGTCCTACAATCTGACTTAAGCAATTAAGTGTGTGTGTGTGTGTGTGTGTGTGTGTGTGTGTGTGTGTGAGCGCGTGCTCCTTCCTAATCAATTAACTCCTGTTGTGATTCCACTTCTAACGGTTGACTTTGTCTCAACCTCTGAGTTATCAAGATCCAGGGAAAATTTGATTGAGAAAGAGAGGAATTGTGAAGCACCTAAGAGCATTTGGGCATATCTCTCTCTCTCTCTCTCTCTCTCTCTCTCTCTCTCTCTCTCTCTCTCTCTCTCTGCTTCATAGAGGACAGGAATGTTCTGTCTGTCCCCCGAGGCCTGGCGATGAATGCCTGTTATCATTTTAAATCTCCAACTGATAAAACTAAGTACTAGCTGGCTCCATTAGTGAATTGGCTGTGTCTGTTTTTGAAGACATCAGTGATGTAACCAGTTGAGGCCACTACCCATTACTACTCCTGCTGACAATGTCTGTAAAATAGCCTGGACATGCAAACTTTGGGGATCAGAACTTAGCTCCTCAATATAGTGTTCGTCATAGCTGCAGCCGAAAACTTTTTTGTTTGTTTTTGTGACCGCTTAAACTATAAACATTTCTCTAATTGTCACACTTCATTTAGAGAATTTGGAGTGCATCTGCTGCCTTTCATCCACAGAATGACAACCATTCAAACATTGTGTTTCCTCTCATCCTTTCCTCCTCCTGTCTTTTTCCTCTTGCT